CATTTTGGCCGAGGCACTAAAGACGCAAGAATCATGGAGAAAGGCTGGACCAGTATATCGACTGAGTGCCCTACGAGTAGCTAGCGCCTTTCGCACAATATCAGAGGATGCAGTGTGTGTTATTTCCGGTACTCTGCCTCTCAGAGTCCTAGCTGAGGAAAGGCGGAACCTATATCAACGAAAAAGGTCAACTACACTGAGCCCTGAAGAACTTAGAAGCGAAGAACGGCAACACAGCATCGCAAGATGGCAACAAGAGTGGAACGCTTCATATAAGGGTCGGTGGACGTACCGTCTCATACACGGATGTTACCGGAAGTATCTTCACCGCTTTAAGCATGACAATACCCCAGAGTGCCCGTCCTGTCCAGGGGTCAATGAAGATGCGGGGCATGTTTTCTTTGTGTGTCCACGTTTCAACTAACAGCGCAATGAGTTAGAGAAGATTCTGAAGAAGAGAAACCAACCAGAGTCAATAGTAGAGGCAATGTTGTCGTCAGAAGCTGCCTGGAACGCCACAAGCATTTTTGCTACAAAAGGGCTTACTGAGTTGCGATCCATTGAGAGGAAAAGTGCGAAAGAGCGAATCTAGAAGGAAGAAATAACATCTTAGCCACCAGAAGGAAGAGCGGCAGCTAATTCCTCCCCCCGCGAAGAAATGCCTTACGGCGGTACCATGGGGGATCAGAGGATAGAAGAGAAAGGGGTTTAGGGTTTAGTGGGTAGGGGCGTCAGCGTCGAGTGTTAGTATGACGCTGCGTCGAGTCGCCACATGTCCGGGCCAACATCTATGCCTAGAATTCGTAAAAAGGATTTCCCATATTTTGCGAAGTTCTGCTATGTCTGCTGACCACCAGTACGCCGGCCTGTGGAATCTCTGATTTTTCAGCCGCGGCATAGAGGCATCACATGCGGCAGCAATTTCCTTCATCGTATTTAGCACTGATTTTTCCGTCTCGCTGCACGTATCCGGAGTCGTGTTGTTCTGAAGAATAGACCAGCTTCGTGCAAGCGAAACTTTCAATGCCTCTGGATCAAGCCTTTTGGCATTCCACTTCCGCTTAGGAACGTCGCGTTGTGAAACCGGAGCAAATGCCAATCCGACGCTGAATGTTACGAACTGGGGATCACTGCCACTATATTTTTCGGATACTACCCAGTCTTCGATCATGTTGGCAGTCCTTGGAGTCGACAATCCCAGTCCGAGCTATCTTATAATTTTTTCTCACATATTCTATACACTCACATTAAGAAGTTCCTCTCCATAATCCTTTCTCAATCCTTTCCTACCAATTATCCTGTTACGTGAATGTTGGAACGCTTCACGTAATAATTATCCGTAACTCTTATTCTTTCCCGCTTCACAGCATTATTTATATTTGTTAAAAAATGTGGGACAAGTCCGACCCGCGGACCGGGAATACCAAATGGTATTCATCAAAAAATTCGGAGTTTTTTCTAAAAATTTTAAAAATAACGATGAAGATAGCTTTAAAGAATTTTTTTATATTTTTTTCCAAAAAGAACATTTAATAACAAAAATTTTGAAAAAAAAAAACGTCCCGATAAGCCAATTTTTGAAAAAGTTATGGCAATTTAAAAATAAAAAAGCGGTTTTTTTGAAAAATTCGGAACTTTTTTTTAGTTGGGTAAAAAAATTTGAAAAAATTATGAGAGACATTTTTGATAGGGTAGAAAAGGATGGTAAACTTTCAGCCAAATCAAAAGGGATCAGGGTCAAAAGTGGTCGATTTGGCGTGGAATGCCCCATATATACATAT